CATGTCTCCTTTTGAGATAGTTTATGGATTCAATCCTCTAACCCCTTTGGATTTATTGCCCCTTCTAGATGTTGCTTCCTTTATTCATAAAGAAGGTACATCTAGGGCTGAATTTGTTAAAAAATTGCATGAGAGGGTTAGAAGTCATATTCAGTCTCAAACTGAAAAATATCAAAAATATAATGTACTGTCCGTACCGCGAAGCCGAGCTCCGAGCTCGGCATCACAGCACAAGATGAGGTCGGGCACGCGCCACGCGACGTCAGCTCAGTAGTTAAGCAGATCATAACCGATCTCAAGGGATCTCGCTTCAGACGAGATCCACTATCTAATCTTATCATAACTTATCTCAAGCCCGATCCCCAAATAAACCCTAATTCACACTAAGGTACGCCCATTACTTATACGAGATTCATACTCCCACAAAAACTAACTTTAGCATCTGATTCTCTTGTGCATGTACCACCCCTATCTCGGAGCACCAGCGTACCAGTGAAGGAGGCTCACCGATCTTACCTGGCGGATCAGCTCTACAGCAGATTTCTGGTAAGAACATTTGGCACCCACCGTGGGGCCGATCAAGATAGCTCTTATCGGCCACGCTTATGGTTTGCACCAGAAGCCATAGTAGACACGCAACAGAAGACGCAAATCCTACGACTACCATGGATAGTGAAGCAGCATTAAGGAGGCTGATTGATCAGGTCGAACAGATGCGGCAGCAACACGCCGCTGATTTACAAAACATGCGTGCCCAACACGACACTGCTATAACGGCAATGCGTACCGCTAATGAAGCCAACCTGACAGCACTGCGCGTCGAGAACAAGCGTATTCGTGCTCAACTCCCTCGGCGTCACTCTGATCACCCCCCTCATGTGAGCAGCCACCACGAGGAAGAAGAGCATTCAGTCTCTCAACCTCGGACGGCGACCAAGGCACCAACCCAGCGACCTGCCATGCAGCGATCTCACGCACCGACGCACAAGTCAGGCCATGAAATCAGCAAGGCCCCTACTCATGCCGCAGGGGGTCAGGCAACCTTCCGCCGCCACCCTTTTGTTGATGGCATTATGGAGACACCACTCCCTCACGGGTGGAAACCTCTCCACCTCGACCGCTACAATGGCACGACGGACTAGGATGAGCACATTGACCTGTACACAACACAACACAGGTAAATCTCTACACCAACAACGATGCTATTCTGTGTAGGGTATTTCCGACCTCACTCAAGGGGGCCGCGCTCAACTGGTACACCCAGCTGCCTGCTGAATCCATCGATAGTTTTGGTACCCTAGTCAGGAGGTTCACCGCGCAATATGTGACGAGCCGACCTCATCATGTCACCTCAGCCGCCCTGGCCAGTCTAAGGCAGAATGACGACGAACCGCTTCGGACATTCATGGAACGATTCGCCGCCACCTCGATCAAGATCAGGAACCTGAACCCTGAGGTTGCCCTACACGCCATGCTCATGGCACTCAAGCCCAGGCCATTTATCGACAGCCTGTGTCGTGAGTCTCCCCACGACATGGACGAGCTCCGCGCCCGCGCTGCAGGTTTCATCCAGATGGAGGAACACTCCGCTTTCCGCAACCAGGTTCGCAAAAAAGGACCAGCAAAGCCCGAGCAGGGGCACAACGACAAGGTCAAGGTCAACAGTGACAGCCAGTTCAAAAAGTCAGCTAGGGCAAACAGGGGGGGAGATATGACTTCTACACTCCCCTGAACGCACCCAGAGTCCACATCCTGGAAGAAGCCAGCAACAACAACCTTCTCGCCCTTCCACCACCAGGTCACACACCCAACAGCGCCGAAAAGTCCAAGCACTGTCAGTACCACAGGAACCACGGTCACACCACGGAAGAGTGTCACACGCTCCGAGACCGTATCGAAGAGCTCATCCAGGCAGGCCACCTCGGCCAATACATCCAACGACAACAGGGTCACCAAGGAGGCTATGGCGTTCGGGGGCGTGGCAGAGGGCGAGGCTCGGGAGCTCGCACGGACCAACCCTCTGGCTCCCAACAAAATGTCAGCGACGCAGTACAGTCCGAGATAAGCTAGGACACAGGGACAGCCCCCTTACGGGGAGTGATCAACACAATTGCAAGAGGTTTCGCTGGGGGAGGTGCCAGCAGCTCGGCCCAAAAGAGGCACCTGCGGAATGTCAACTGCATCCACTCTACCACCTCGGCTCAACACCAGAGCTCACCGCCGATCTCCTTCTCTGACGAGGACTACGCGGGCGTCAGCCCTAACCAAGATGATCCAATGGTTATCGTGGTGGAGGTCGCCAACTGGGAGGTGCAGAAGACACTTATTGACCAAGGAAGTTCGGCCGACGTCCTATACTGGCCAACGTTCCTTAGGTTGGACGTCCCCCATTCCCTCATCCAACCTCACACGGAGCCCCTAGTCGGCTTCGCAGGAGAACAAGTTCACACTCGCGGGTACGTAGACCTGCTGACAACCTTCGGGGTACCTCCGGAGACAAGGAGAATCATGGTTCGATACCTCCTAGTGGAGGCCAACACCTCCTATAACATCATCATCGGGAGCCCAACCTTGAATCAGCTCGGCGCAGTGGTATCCACTTCGCACCTCACCATGAAGTTCCCGGGGAACGACGGTAAGATCATCTTTGTCAAAGCAAATCAGAAGACAGCTCGGCAGTGTTACGCCGAGAGTCTGAAGATCTCCTCGTCCAGCAAGCAAAGCAAAAGGGGTCCCCCCACCATAGCTCATTAGGTTCCATTTCTTCTTTCTGTACGATGAAATTGTGCACTCTTTTCCCGCCTCAGTCCCTGACTGAGAGGGTTTTTAACGAGGCACACAAAAACCATCAATAAAATTACACATTTTGTTCAATCCATCTTCTTATCTATTGCTTTTGTGAAAGTCGAAATCGAACTAACATTTTTCACTCTTATTAAGGTCGAGTACGAACCTTAATACTCCTACCCGAGGTCGAATTCGAACCTCATCTAAACTCTATCACGCTCATTCGAGGTCGAGTCCGAACCTCGATAAAATTACGAGGTCGAGTACGAACCTTAATACTCTGGCCCGAGGTCGAATTTGAACCTCATCTAAACTCTATCACGCTCATTCGAGGTCGAGTACGAACCTTAATACTCCTACCCGAGGTCGAATTCGAACCTCATCTAAACTCTATCACGCTCATTCGAGGTCGAGTCCGAACCTCGATAAAATTATGAGGTCGAGTACGAACCTTAATACTCTGGCCCGAGGTCAAATTCGAACCTCATCTAAACTCTATTACACTCATCCGAGGTCGAGTCCGAACCTCGATAAAATTACGGGGTCGAGTACGAACCTTAATACTCTTACCCGAGGTCAAATTTGAACCTCATGAAAATTCATCTAAAACTCTTACACTCATTGGAGGTCGAGCACGAACCTCGCCAAAATTCGTTTTACTCCAAATTGAGGCCGAGCACGAACCTCCGTACGATCATTCGAGGTCGAGTTCGAACCTCGCCAAAATTACGAGGTCGAGTACGAACCTTAGTACCCTTACCCGAGGTCGAATTCGAACCTTGATGAAACTCACATTACTCCAAAATCCAAAGACGTGCTCAAACCTTGGTGAAATGCATAAATTTGAAGACAAGTACGAACCACTTATCCAAAGACGAGTTCGAACCTTTACAACCTGCTACTCAACAAACATACAAGGACGAATCCGAACCTTAGCGCAACTCACTCTACTTCAATTTGAGGTCGACTTCGGACCTCGGCGCTAATAAATCAAGGTCGAACTCGAACCTTCACGGAAACACTCACTCAACGAAAAACCTAGGGCGAGTTCGAACCCTGACTTGGTCAACACAAGGCAAAGGCATCACCACATACAAAAACATGCAACAGACATCAAACGTGCACCTCAAAACGCGCAAACAGCAAAAATCAAGAGCAAACGTAAGCAAGCAAAGAAAATACATATATACAAAGCCATGTTTACAGAGTTCAATACATGAATTCAACAAAACAAATGAAAAATAAATTAAAACTATTACAAAGGCGGCCTAGGCTGAGGCATTCTCACTAGAACTTTCATCGACATCATCCTCCTTAACCAGCCTCCCAAAGCGAACCACCTTCTCCACGTGCATGGAGGAGAAGTCGAATCCGGGAGCAAGGAGTCGTGCCTGACGAGCAGCCTTCTGGAAGCCCCTTTTGTGCTCCATCACAATGAAGTGCTCGACCTCCGCGAGCCTCCCTTCCCCGGCCTCCTTCCCCGCCGCCAGCTCCGCGAGTTCCGC